TTACTCTTACCCATAAGCCGATGACTTGCTGCCTGGAAGGCAGGATTGGACCCCTGTTGTTCACACCCAAATGACATTTCTCTCTAGATGTGATCTCCATGACTCCCTTCCTGTCCCTAGATAACAACACCTGTGCTGTAACCCATCAGTGTCCGTGTGGGGCTCTGATATCAAATTCCCATGCTGCACAGAGAACAGATTAACTGCGTGCTAATTATCTGCTGACAGGTGAGAGATTAGAGCCTGTGGGAAATAAAACAGGAAGGCAGCCTGCATCTGTCATCTTAGTCTTCTTGGGAAAATGTCGATATAGGGATTGGTGGGAGGAAAATAAGTGAAAACGCAGTTTCCAGTTACCTGGTGAGCATTGTAAACATTAAGATCTCTGCACTTTGCCACTCCTGACCTTCCTCCTGCTTCATGCCTACCTCTCCCCGCTGTAAGACAGTTCTGATCTTCATCACACACCAGGTAAAGCAAGGTATGAACGCTAGGGGTAACACATAGTGTCCAGTTCTGTTGGCTTAAATGTTTGTGCAGTAACAATCCTATGGCTTCAGAGTCCAGAATGCTGTTTCAAGAGGTGAAAGTAACGCCAGAAGGAACAAGACTTCAAAATGGGGCAGCTTTCTTTTCCATGTGTTGGCTCCCTGGCTTTGACTGTCTAAGATGCGACAAAAATATTAACCATCTTCTATGTGAGTGCATTTAACTAAGCCTCTCCCTACAAGCCCCTGAGATATCCAGTATTATCATATATAGAGCTAGAGATAACTATTTGCGTGACTCAGTGGAGTTGTGACCCATATGGTACATCTAGATATTTATACTGTACCCATTATGTGATATGTGAGAGTGCTGCTATGGGTGGTGTGAACTGAGGAGTTCTGTGTTCAGCACATGGAGACTGTTTTCTCACTTGGGAACCCTGAAGACCTCTAGTCTTATCCCAATTTTCTTCTCTTTCTGCTTCTCATTCTGCAAGGCTAAACACAATGCAGTTTCCTTTGACACCCCTTAATGCCACTTGCTGAATCGGGTGTTGTTTGTTCCTTTGCTACAGTCCATTCACGGCTTTCAGGGTCTGAATGCATTTGATTTCCTATGCTAACAGGAGAACAAAGAACTGCTACAAGTCCACTGGACTTTCTTGATGTGGAGTGTCTGATTTTGCCCAGACATAGTGAGGCTTTCTTTGATGCATGGTACAGAGCAGGCTGTGATGTGTTGCTAAAAAGAAAAGAGTTTGGGGGGTAGGGAGCAGGGCAGTTCTTGCTAGTATTTTTACCCTGCTGTCAGCCATACATCTGAACTAATGCTTGCTTCTCTGACCATAGTCAAATTATGGTGCACTCACTTTGGTTCTGAAAGTAAATTTTCCCGAGGTGGTATGTGGAGCTTTTTTTATTTCAGAGGTGATGTTAAATGAGCCTACACCAAAGCCAAAATGCCAGGATGTGGGTTTGTGTAAACTATCACCTTGTAACTCGAAAAAGAAAGGGAGATCTATGCTTGAAGCTTGCCTTTCCCCATGTCATCAGCTGTACAGGCAGAAGGGAGCAGTTGAATTCTGGAAGCTTTTCTGTCAAGGAAGGATCATTGAATTTTGTCTTGGCTAGGTTTTATTTTTACCCCAGTAGGGAGGGCTAGTACCATCCTAGCTGACACAGTCAGATACTGAACACAGTCAGATACTGACTCCTGGGGATTTTTTTTAGTTCACAGTGAAGTGAACCAGCAATATTGGGAGTAAAGGAAAATGGATTTGGGAAAATTTGTGGGATGCTGGAGAACAGCAGCAAGGAATTAATCATTCTCTTGTCAAAGGAAAAGAGGCTGAAAATGGGTGATAAACACACTGTTGGATCTCATGCAGGCACAAAGTACTGCTGCTAGCCATTGCAGAATGGCCGAGAATTGATGGTTTTGTCCCTCCATAACTGTCTTTCACTCGAGAGCTTTGCAAATATTCATTAATGAATCAAGCTTGGCAAAGAGTTTAGGTAAGTGGTACAGTACAGGCATATGTATATGCAGAGAAGCTGACACTTGCCCAAGGTCATGCAGGGATTCAGTAGAAGACCGGGAATTGAACCCAGGAGTCCTGGTTTCTCCGTTCAGAGCTGATAGTGGCTGAAGGCTGTGGAATTTGAATGAATAACTTCAGTCCTCCTGCGGTGCTCTTTCAGAAATAGATTTGGACCTAGAAGGATGCAATACCATTTCTCAAACTGAAGCTCAGAACTGGGAAAGCACCTTGTCTCAGATCACACAGGAGCACCTGAATTATTTGGGCTTCATGGTAGATGCAAGGATATAGGACAGTCTCTGTAACATTAAAGTGGTCATAAGGAAAGGAAGCAGAAAAGCCAGGCATTTTCATGTACATCTGTTCTGTATGTCAGCCTAGATCTAAGGAAGCCTGGACTGAGGACCTAACAATCCAGATCCAGATTTCAGTGCTGGGTCCCAGTCCAGGCAACAGGATCAAAAGACTGGTCCAACAAGTGGCAATGAGGTGTTCCAGACCCAAGTCTGAGTCTTTTGGCTCAGAGACATCTCTTAGGGCATTGGTTCCCAATCTGTGGTATGGGTACCACCAGTGGTACGCAGACAACTTGTCCATGGCACACATTTACAGATTTATTATAATTACTTTATAAGACAAACATTTGCTGGTGGTATTTACGGTGGTATTATTTTACACTGGTGGTGCACAATCTGTCAGGGTTTGGGAACCGCTGTCTTGGGGAATCAAAAGCTTCTAGAAGTCCAATAACGCTTATTGATGATGTGGGCGGGGAGAGCAGTAGGAACAAATAAAACAAGCACTAATTATTCTGAACTTTACTTAAGCTTTACATAATAGGAGAGGGTAATTCTTGGGGACAAGACCGTTCTGAGCCATCAGAAATTGGCTAAATAAGTGAAGCTTTCTACTATAGTTGGTGTGCATAAGGAAGTGGTCAAAGGAGGCTGGCTGTGGGGGTGCGGGATGGGGAAGGATCATTTCCTGCTGTGCATGGCGTTTTCTGCTGCTAAAGTACTGGAGAAAAATGAAGGAGTCTCTGCTGTTTAGTACACAATCAAAAGGTGAGCCTGGAAGCTAGGGGAAAATGCTCATAGGATGATTTCATCCATGAGGTTGATGCCAGAAATGCTAAACAGAAACAAGAATGCAGTCTTAGGATGATTTGATCAATTTGTTCCAGCTACATATAGATTGCTAGAGTTTCCCTCACATGTTTGGGGCACAGTCCTTGTCTGCTCTCTGCCCTATGGTGCATCTCAAAATGTTACTTAATGAGCAAGACAGCTTCAATTTAAAGGCAAGATATCTGCTAGTAAAAGCAGGGATGGATTTCTTTGCAAGTAAGCCTATTTACCTATATTAAGTATTTATCCAGTATCTGTTGCTATAGTATCTAAGCACGTCCACAGATGATATTGTATTTATCCTCCTAACACCCTGCAAGGTAGGAAAATGCTATCACCCCCATTGGACCTATCCCAAATACCAGGTATCGTAGACTAAGTGACTTGCATAAAGTCACATGGAGGGCTGTGGCAGAGCACGGACCTGAACACCAGATCTCCTGTGTTCTGGAAACCATCCTCCCTGTTAAGTCCATATGCTAATATCTAATCCTATTCTTAGTAAGTTAAATAGTTACATAGACTGCAGCTAGGACATGCATAAAGATCCACACCTGTGGCAAGAGAAATGGAAGTGAAGTGCTCCGGTTTCCCAACATCAGAGCTGTGCGAGTGTGCAGCTGTAGACCTAGTTCACGTAAAACCGTATATAACCCCCCTGGTGTACATGCTAGTCTTGTTATTGGCAGGAAGCAAGCTCTGTTGTGATCTCTGGGAGCTGTGGGTGAGGATTCGCAATCTGTTAACCATTCTGCACTTGGGCCAGCAGTGCTGTTGTGCAAGCTGGGTTGAAGGGCAAATAGCAAGGTAATGAATGAAAAGCATCCATCAACAGCAAATTATCTGGAACAAACAGTAACATTGTCTCCCTAAAAATCTAACCAACTTTGGCAAGCCCACCATATCAGTCTCCCACCTGGGATGTATTATCATTAGTTATACAGCAGCACTTAATGACGCCATCAGATCAGGGCCCTTTGCACTGGGTGCCATGTGCAGACCTGTGGTAAAGGGTAGACATGAAAGTCTGATAATTTCAAAATTTGCTTCACAGTTTTGACACTAATTAAAATTAATTGGAGTTTGGTGTCCAGATCCTTCAGGCAGCTTTGGAAAAATTGCAGACCACAGTCATGAGATCAAGATGAAGCAGCAGGGTAGATAAACAGATGGTGCAACTGGGGACAGGGGATGAGGTGTTGGGAATGTGAGCTAGTTTCTGTAGATGCTGGCTGTCGGCTCAGTTTGGAGCTGTAAAGGTGGCTTTATCCAGGAATGCGCAGAGCTCCCATTGACCTGCTCGAGCTCTGTGTTTGCCTGTTTGGTGTATTTGACCATCACTGTCTTCTAGCCACTATTCTTGGGTACCTAGCAACTTAACACCTAAACCTGTCCAGTGCTTAGAACCAATACATAGGCATACTCCCTGACCTGTTACATGTTTGCAGCAAATAAGCAAGCTTCTCCTCTCCCCCAAACCAGGCTGGGAAATGAAGCTAATGTAAACATCTAAACCTAACCAGTCCAGGATTGGTTTCAACCAGTTCTTCAAACCCCAACCCTGCATGCTAAATGAATAGGGGATTCAGCTCTAGGAGGAATAAGAAGCCCTTATTCTGATGCTCTCAGGCTGTGCTCTAAGTTTGCACAACAGAGCTGATCTTTTCTTTTCTTTTTTCTTTTTGAAATAGTCTTTGTCTGATTCCTTTAAATCTCACTCTGTTTCTTTTTCTCAGGTTCCGTTCCAAAACCCTCTCCTTCAGGAGCAGGGCTTTCCTCGGAGATGGGCTGAAAGGATGGATTGGGAAGCACGAGAGAATGAATACTCCGTAACACAGAGGAGCTCTTTTCTCCTGCCCTGCAGCCAGTCGAGGGTTAACAAAATGAGCAGCTCTTGTGCAGGCAGAGTATGTACTTGGCAGTGAGGGATGGTCTGTATTACAGTATGTAAGAGAAGGAGCGGAGGTGCATTTGATTCCATTCACCAGCTGGCAGGCTGAGCCTAAATCTCAGGATCCAGGGTCTGGCGACAGCCAAGAACCCCCCTCCTCCCTGCCCCGAGCCTCAGTTCTTCCCCTGGATGGGGACCCTCGCCACTGCACATGGTGGCATTTGACTCCGGTATGCTGCTGTGAGGAGTTTATGTTGGTGGCTTCAACAGGACTTTTCCCCTGACTGTCTGAATGAATGAGTGCCTTTCAGAGCAGAGCCAGGTAAGATTCGCAGCGTTACTTTTCATTCCTTCTAGCTTGCAACCTAAAGACAGGAGAGGCCAAATCCAGCCCGGAGGCAACTCTGCTGCAGTCAGGGGGGTTATTCCTTGGAATTCGATTTTGCCCATTGTCAGGCTACTCTCTCACCAGGTTGGTTTCTTATCATGAGAAAAGTACAAGTCCTGATGATAATCTCTGATACGGGGTTTGGTTTTTTTTCTGAGCTGTCCATGTGGGGAGTTCTCTTGCCTTATCCACCGTGTTTCTTTACATGGAGCATCAAAGTTACTGCAAGTGAATAGTAAAGCTATTAACATGGACTGTCAAAAAGGCTGTGATGGGAAAGGTGCATTTTGGAGGTGCTGGCTGTACAGGGTCCGGGTGTCTGTTAAAGTCACACTGTTAAAATACCACACCTTGTACAGTGATGCAAGGAGTGTGTGTGTTTACATTGGATGCATAGCATCTTCATAAACAGCATATTTTATAACATGGCATACTCTCTAGAGCTGTCGGAAACTGCAGAACACTTTCTCAAGCATTGCCTGAGTGTGGAAATCAAGCTTTCCTCTTCTATGCCTGTGCCTCTTTTTGGGGGTGTTTTTTGCCTTTCTGTAAACATCAGAGCTTAGCACATAAGACCTGACTTTTTAGCTTGTTCAGTTAAGCATCTGCATTAGAAATGTTGTGTTTTGCATGGGTTGGGGAACTAAATGCAGCAAGGAGATAGATGAGGTCTGAACCCTCACATTAGCACTGGCATAAAAAGCTGTTAAAATGATACATAACAATCTGGCCATACCTTTCATAGCTAGTTTTATGCGTGCATGTTCAATGGTTTTGTATTAGTGGGTGTGATGAGAGAGAGAAATTAAAACAGATCATTATTATGCACTTAGTATATTTTATATCACATGGGATTTACTTAACATTGCAGCTGAACACAGTTGCCAAACCTCTTGCCAGAGCCCTGACACAGGCAATTAAATGAGTTAGGAAAGGATCTGAGGGCACGTTTGTTACTTTGTGTGCATGATAAAAATTTACAGAAGCCTAATTTTACTAACACTGACTCCTTGGTAAGGGGCCAACTAGTCCAGAAAGAAAAAGGTTGGAAGTTCTCCAAAATCCCAAAGTGCTTGTTGAAGTGAGCAGAAATGTAATGTTTGTGGCAAAAATCTCAAAATTTGATTGGGGGAGCGAGCGGGAAGAAATTCAGACTTATTTTTAAACCCAGCTTATAGAGACAATCCAAAGACTTGAACATTTCTGAAATTTTGTATGAAAACTTTCATTAAAAATTCACATGCTCTAAGGGAGAGCGGAGGAGCACGTTGACCAAGACTTCGTGCAGTTTCCTCCCCATTTTGGCCTCTTCTCTTTCTAGAGCTTTCATTCACCCTACAATAGCAGGAATTCAAACTCAACTCCCAATTTATAAAAGCTGTGGTCATCCAATCAGCAAAGGGAGATTTGCTGCATGACTTCTGACCAACTGCAGCTAGCCAACTCCTCTCCTAGCTCACAGATCAAATATTTGCCCCAAACAGCAAATAATCTGTAGAGTGTGCGGTTTCCTTTTTTTTTTCTTTTAAAAAAGCAAACAAACAAACAAGCTGCCAGAATAAATAGAAAATAAAATATCATAACATAGATGTAAGGAAATCGTGACTGCAGCGTTATCATGTTCTGCTTGTTGACCTTTCCCAATCAGGAAAAGGGGCTAAACCCATCGGGTAAATGTTGAGCAGATAATTGCACGGCAAATCTCTTCTAGATACGGTGTCATAAGAGGATGGCTTTTCAAATCTGGATCCCATTTTATGAAGCCATTGGTTTTGGTGAGTGTTGATAAATAGCTGGATAAAACCAGACTTTATGGTTTTGGTTTACAAGCTCAGGAGTAGGTCTGGAGGGTCCCATTCAGTGTTCATTTCTTCCCCCCCCAGCCATAAAGTGCAAGAAGGAACATTTGGTGGTTTCATTTTTTGGCCCAGATGTAAGACTAACCTGCTATTTCCTTGGCAGCATTGATTTCTTCTGTAAATATAGACAATGCTCCATCATTCGAATTAGCTTGCTATTTCAGTCTGTTCCCAACAGCTGAGGGGTCAGATAAGGGCCAAAGGCTCTGAACTGGCAGGTGAGAGACCCCAGTGAGGGCAACACATCATGGATGTCCCCTAAATGAACATGTATGCCTCAGGGAGGTGCCTTATCTAGCTTCATTACAGTGCATGTGAGATCCCATGCCTTGGATCCTAATGCGAGCATGACCGAAGCAGTAGCTCCCTGGTTGCGTCGTGGTCTGTGCCGAGCTGCCTGGCACTATGGAGCTGAATTGTTCCTTGTGTCCCTTGCTAACTCTCACAAGCCAACTGCTGCATACACTTCCCAGACACATTTCCACATAAGCAATGGCAGTAGCTGCCATTGTTGTTACAGCTGCCAATGCATTGCTGCATCCTAGGCTCTTGAAGGGAGAAGAGGTGCACTGGATAATTCATGAAACGGTGGGGAATTATTCATAAGTCATTCCCCTACAAAGAGGGAATCCTGGCTGTGGAGAGCTGGGAGGATTCCTACTTTAGTTCACAGCACAGATGCTAGGAGCAACATGCCCACCCACATCATGGCTAGCCAGCCTCCCAGGTGCTGAGCAAAGAGTGTGCGCATGCACATCTCTGGGGGACATTGGGTCATTAGGCTAAAAAGAGATATGGAAAGTATGTACAGTAGCAACTAGCTGAGGTGGGCAAACATGGCAAAAATGTTTCCTAGAAATAAATCTGTGACCAATCGCAAAACTTGAATACCCTCAAGGAGCTTCTCACCGACTAGGGGGTCAGAGCTAACAGATAGCTGTAGAAAGTCACCTGTGTGAGTGGCCGCAGCACAGACGGGGCATTATTCAAACGGGAAAAAAGCAAGCATCATCCAACATTTGCTTCTTTTCTTTTTTTGCCTATGCCTCTAGTGTCCAAAGAACACTGAAGAAACTCAGTTAGAGGTTGAAACCTATAATGGGTATGGACATACTTAAATCGTGGTAAGACAAAGGGTTTTCACAGCCTGCACGTCGTGTGCAGAACTGGTTTTTTTTTGCAGGCATTTTGCGACGGTCTCATCCCTCAGCCAGTGCTAAAGGACGGGACAGTCACAAAATTGGTGGAGAGGCCCTGGTAGGGGGAGGTGGGATAAAGGGGCAACCACCATCTTGTCTACTGCCCTTCATGACCCACTACCAGCTGGTGCTTTCCCCTCCTGGCATCATCTGGGGAGCTGGCATTTAATTTTTATTTAGTTTTTTGTTGTTGACTTTTGTGGGTTAAGTAGGTCCCTAAGAATAGGTTGTCTCAGTCTTGGTCAAAAATGAGGTACTTGACTACACTTGGAAGGCTGCATATGACCCAATTCATTGGCACTGGGTGACTTCGATTATATGTTTGGTTATATTTTATACGAAAGTCACATTTATAAATCACAAAAAGTTAATTATTTACTTTCGACCATTAGCTGTAAATCAGCATTTAGCAGACATGGTGCAGTTAGGTATGAACGTATTGGTGGAAGGTGCTATAGATGGTTCCAAGCTATGATTATTGGGGCTGTGTGAAGTGAGCCCTATTCGATTCTGATTCAGCCCAAATCTGGGACAGTGATTTGATCCATTGATTCGATTACTGTCCTTGATTCGATTCGGCTGAATCTGAATCTGATGACTCGATGCTGATTTGGTGAATCAGCGATTCAGACACAGGTACAGCTTTAAAAGGTTTTTTTCTACATACCTTAAGGTAGCAATGCAGCTTGTGATTGCTGCAGTGCTGGGGCGCATGAAGCGTCCCACAGGAGCATGGGGGTGCTCTGCAGAGTGCTCGGCAGCAAATCCAGAAGAGGACCGAAAGTACTTCTGGTCCACTTCCGGGTCTGCTGCCGAGCACGCTGGAGACGCTCCATCTGCCCCAGCACTGCAGCGTTCGGAGCCCCTGCTACCTAGAGGTACACAGAAACAACATTTAAAGCTGTGTCTATGTACAAATGGCTGAATCTGTCCGAATCTATTTCGGAGAGTCCTGAATCGATTTGGAGAGTTGAAAGCATCCTTTGATTCAATTTGGATTCAGAGATCTGGCCACCGAAATGGACTGAATCTCTGCCAAATCGGATCAGGGACTGAAGCTTCGCACAGCCCTAATGATTATGAGTAACCTGTTAGACTCTGTTTAGCTGTAACAATTGTTTAACAACTTTGTATCATCTATAGATGTTTTACTTCAACTTTTGTAGGAATTATTCATAAATATGCCATTAATATAAATTGCAAAGGTATACTTTTTTCCACTACTCCTGTAAACAGGGTCTTTTAGCCAAGCTGTTGTGTTGTCTGCTCTTCAGCTGAATATTGATTTAGATTGTGGAACCAAGCTGTACTGTAAGTTATGCTGGGATTTGGGGGTCTTAGTTAAAAAGGTTGTTAAATACATTTTACCATAAGCACTAAGAGAAAACCGCCACAGTGAAAGACCAGGATAAATAGGTGCTGACCCTTGGAGATCACCGTTATAGACACTGTCACGGAGTGGGGCCTACGAGCAGCCATGATCCCGCTAGCGCCCCCTTGCCGTGGCAATTAGGAGATCAGCACCCTCTAATTCTCGCCCGCCACGTCTTTGATCTTATATAATATAATATGGGAGGCTACCTATGATCTCCTGAGATTTAAGGGTGACTTGGTGCACCCCCAGCCCTATGGGCTATGCGTGCCTCCTACCTCCCCTTTAGCACGCCCCAAGCCTTGCAGCTGTTCCTGACGTTCTTGTGAACGTCACTCCCCGGGCTTCACTCTTACCGGCTGGCCCCCCCAGGGGCCTAGGCCACGCGCTTCCCACGCTCCTGCCCCTCTTGCCCCTCACTGGGGCCTTTGTCTGTGCTACTCGCGCCCGTGGCTTTCTCTTAGCCGGTCCCGTGCTCTCGTGCCCGTGGCTCTCCTGGAGCCT